ATGTGGGCCTAATGTCGTGAATTTGAATGCAATGTGGGCTGTGCGCCGTTTGTAAGCATAACTATTGCATGCGTGAATGAAATATTTGTGAATGGGCGTGTTAGCGTCGTTGTAAAGTGTTGTGAATGGTTCAGCGATACACTGGAGATGTGGAAAATGAGGACGATAGAAATACCTTAGGGAAGAGGGAGTCGTGGTGACATCGACTGCGAAACGGGTGCACCACGGGCTACACACTCTCTTCCTGACTAGACCTCTGACCACTATCTTTGTTGAGTGATCTGTCACTGTTCACGTGGTATCCGTGACGCGGGAGTAACCAGCGACCATTCATGGTGTAAATCTGTGATCACAGTACTATAGTAAGTGTGGTTGTTGTGCGTATACACGAGTTTGTGTATTGTGCTTGTGAATGTGAAATGTTGCCTGTGATTGTATTTGTTTAATTTATTAGAAATATTCTGGAGGTGAGACTCTACGTTTATTGTGTGTTTTTGGGTAGTGTAGAATACTCACCCTTACATTCATTTTTCATGTAATCAAGATGATCAGCACCGAACTCAGTGAAGGGGTGGATGGAACTGCTATAGGACTTAGGATATCATTTTGAAAACTATTGTATTTAAATAAGTCCTGTAGCAACTGGTTGATATAATTTGTAACCCCTTTCTTTATTTGAAAATGTTTGATGAACTTGGATTAAAAATGAAAATTTTATTATTTTAAAAATTTGCGAAATTCCTTATTTATTGAAATTAAATTTAAGGTGTTACAGATTGAATCTTGATATGCTTTTAAGTTTGGAAACAACAAGTTATATATGTTGAGTTCCATTGTAAGTTTGAAGTACAAGGAAAAGACTTCCATTTCATATTACTTGAAGAACTTTAAGAGCTCCTTGATCATATGTTGAAAATGAGCATCAAGTTTGATGATGAGATTTTAGGACTCTTGTTGTTGAATTCTCTACCTTAATTTTGAAAGATATTTAGGCTTTGTTTGAGAGTTTGGAGAAAGAGGGAGGGAAAAGGTTTGAAGGGAAAGGAGGAGAAGGAGGTTAAACCCCTCCCTTATTTGGATGTTTAATATTGAGAGGAGAGGATAATAGAGAGTTTAATTATATAAATAATATTATTATATTTTATATTTTTTATTTTTATTTTTTTATTTTTCAAAAAATAAATACTTTTCTTTCTCTAAAAATTAATATTTTCAAAATTATTTTTATTTTTTTAGATTTTTAAAAAAATTCTCACTTGAAAAGCCAACATTTAAAAAAAAAAAAAGTTAGAATCCTAATCATAAAAAAATACGAGAGAGTGTGAGAGAGAAAACTCACAGAAAATTTCCAGATTCGAGAAACTAAAAAAACTACTGTTAAGAGGGCTTTATAAGGTTCAAAAAAATCTTCAAACCCTTCGTCTCCTAATTAAATAACTCTCAAACAAGGGTTAACCCTTCTCTTCCCGCCTTCCTAAACGCAACTCCCAAACATAGCCTTAAGTTCTCTATTACAAACTTTGTCCCCAATGGTGTTGTTTATTTGCAAATGATAAAAATATAGTGTTCTTAATAAGAAGATCAGAAGGAAGACATAAAATTTTTCATCTCAATCTGATGTGCTTGTCACTGAAAATAGGGAAAAGTCAAAAAATCAAAAGGTGGTAGAGAAAGAGTATACGTAAATTTAGATACAAGAATATGGAGTGTCATTACTGTCACAAAACAAGACACATATAGAATAATTGTTTTCAATAGGAAAAAAAAAAGGCAAGAAAGGTAAGTCAAAGGAGAAGGATCGTGATTATGATGATTGTGTCACTACTACTACTAGTATAGGTGATGATCTATTTGTTCTTTGTGACTTTGAGTTAGTGAATCTGTATTAGATAAGAGCATATTAATAATTGACAGAGGTGCTACACTACATGTTACACCAAGGAAAGAATTTTTCACATTTAACACTTTATGTGACATTAGAGTGTTGAAGATGGATAATGATGGTGTGTCAAAGCTAATTGGTATTAGTAATGTTTGTTTACAAACCAACATGAGAGTGCAATTGTTACTTAGAGGAGTCAAACATGCTCTAAATATTCACTTTAATTTGATCTCGACGTAGATGCTTGATGATGATGATTATGATAATTACTTTGGCTCTAGAAAATGGAAGCTCATAAGAAGTAACTTGATTACGGCTAAAGGGAAGAAAATTTCTAAATTATATTGGACAAAACTTTGGTTGCTAAAAATAATGTGAATATCATGGATTTGGAGACATTTTTGTGCATCGAAGATTTAGTCACATCAGTGAAAAATGGCTGAACTGCTTAATTAAAGAGATGTATTTTCAAGATTGAAGAATGAAAAATTAGAGAAATATTTTAATTGCAGGCTAGTAAGCAAACAAGAGTATCATTTGAGAAACATCCTCTCTAAAAGGAGTTAAAGTTATTTGAATTGGCACATTCAAATGTTTGTGGTCATTGAAGGTAAAGTCATTTAGTGGTGCCTTTTACTTTATTATCTTTATTCATGATTGTTCTAGGAAGCTTTGGTTCTATACTTTGAAGACAAAAGACCAAGTGCTTGAAAAGTTCAAACAATCTTAGGCTTTAGTTTAGAGATAGTTAGGCAAAAGCCTTGAAGGCATTTGTTTTGACAATGGTAGTGAGTATTTTTTTTACCCTTTAATACTTATTGCAAGTAACAAGGTATCAGACATGAAAAGACTCTTTCTAAAACTCCTCGGTTGAATGGTTTAGTAGAGAGGATGAACATGATTTTGATTGAAGGAGATAGGTGTTTTTCTAAAGCAAGATTGCCTAACATTTTTGGGATGAGACACTCTACATGGCATTGCATGTTATTAATTTTAGTTCTACAGTTGCTTTGAATAGTGAGGTGCCAAACAAAATTTGATTTGTCAAAATATCAAGTATGATCATTTGCAAGTCTTCGGTTGCAAGATTTTTTGTCATGTTTTAAAGGATGAAAGATTTAAATTGGATGTAAAGACTAAACAATACATCTTCATTGCCTATGGTTAGGATGAATATGGTTATAGGTTATATGATCTTATTGAGAATAAACTTATTAGAAGTCGTGACGTAAATTTTATAGAAGACCAAAATCATCAAAAACATTGATAAGGTGGAGAACAATACACCTAAAAAAAAAATAATTTATTTAATATTGATCCAGCTTGGATGCTTTGTTCTTATTTTTTATTTTGTAATTATTCCTCTTAAATTATTACCAGTTGAAAAGATGTAATTCTAGTGCATTATTCATTATTGTATTTGTATTAGTATCATTATCAATATGTTCATCTAATTAATAATTACTTTTAGTATGATAAAAAAATACTAATTTTATATATATATATATATATATATATATATTATATCATCATCTAATCATAAATTAAAATATCATTAATGATAAATATTTATTTTTAAAATAATCAATTTAAAAACTAATCTTTATATCAAACTATATATTTACTGATTTACTAACACTCAGTTGATAGTTTGTTAGAATTTTTTTTATTTAAAATACAAGCAGATAAATTATTTACAGTTCAAATGAATGAAATAGTTTTTCTGAAGTAAAATATTTTTAATTGAAAATATTTAAAATAATATTTATTTAAAATATTCTAAAAACTAAAATTTATTAGTTTTAATATTTTTTAAAATTAAAACCAATAACTTGAACTTTAATTAATTTGTGCCTCAACAAAATGAGAATTAACTAACTGAATTTTAGGATGTAAACTACAAATTTAAGTATTTGTTTTATTTTTCGTTAAAATGATATTTAACGAACGTTTGGTTTAACTCATTTATTGTCTTCATGTTTTTTCTGTTATAACTCGTGCAATGACTTTCAACGGTAACCGAACATAGCTAAGCGTCTGTGTCCCATCTACCGTTAAAACAAACACTATTTCTGATTGTGATGTATACCCAATTCTATACACAAATTCAAATTCCTTAACTGTTCTTCAAGATCCCATGTTTAAACATGGAACACCATATGCACTTAGGAACCTTTCAAAAATATCATGGTGAATTTGACTCAACATGAGAGTTAGGCAATCTTCAACGCCGTTGCATATTGAGTTGCTAATATTGAATTTTTTTAAAGCAGCTTTTATGGGCTTATGTATAATGAACGCCTTTCAACGTCAAAAACTAAAATCCACAAATATTTTATTAGGTGCAAGAATATTAATGCATTTATTAGGGATATTTTCAGGTTGTGTTCTTGAGCATGATCTTCTTGTATGTATGATTAGATTTATGAGATGTTTATTCTCATTTATTTAACAGGACGTCTTTTTCAATAGTCATTGTTTATTCAACTTTCTTACATTTGCTTAATAAAAACATAAATATTATTCAACACAAAGAATATAATATAATAAAAACACAAATACGCAAATTTTTAAAATTAAAACTGATAAAATGAATGTATAGTTACAATATTAAATCAAAAGAAGAAAGTAATATTTTAAACTGCGTCATTGTAAATAAAAAGATTATAATTTATTTAATTACTATTATTATCTCATTCAAAAAAAAAATTATAAAATAAACTATAATCATTTAAAGTATCCGTATGAATAACACATGGATACAATACCAACACTATTATTTTGAAGAGGAGTGCTAAAAAATACACTTTTTTTTAATACTATTAGCATTTCTCCATTTTGAAATATCGGTAAACCAACTCTATTTCATGAACTTTCATTGGTAAACTATTTGCAAATGTCCCTTTATCTTCATCAAAGCTTGTGACGTGCTTTAAGCTTGAAATGAGAAAACTTGCCAATTCACTGGGTTTTTAAGATGTGAATCGGGCCAGTTTTAATACCAAACCAACCTTACGTGAGAAAATAGACTATTGTCATACCCATCTGCTGACTTATTATCCCAATGTCTGTAAAACATTTTCAAAATAATTTATGCGAAACACACAGGGATTTCTTAAACTTTCTGCACTGTAGACTTTTCTATTATCTTTCTATTCTCTATACTGTCTAAAACTTGATAGAATATCTGGCCCATGCATAATTACACATTTTTTTTTACCAATATACTATGAAGAATGACAAAAAAAGATTTAAGAGGAAATCTATATTAAATATTTATAAAACAAAGAGGACTCTACCATCTCAATTCCCCATTTTCTGCGAATGCTCTACAGGAAACTCATTAGGCTTGAATTGTGTACTCCGTTGCCTCAGGCTTCCGTGAGTCCAATCTAGGTATGAGCTTACGCGAAGTCTTCTCTTTAATGGAAATATCTTCTGTGATGCCAAGGACTCCTGTTGCTGAAAGTTTAGACGATTCAACAGAATAGCCTTCTTTGCTGCAAAAGAATAATCCTTGTCAAAAGTTTTCAAAAACTAAAGATATGAAGTATGAACTCACTCAAGTTCTAATATAACAGCACTTGTGCGCCAGGGTGAAACCAGAACATGTTGGGAGTGCAGGTGTAAAAATTTATTCTTTTTTAAATCAAAGCCAATGCTGTATAAGAAAGTTTTCTGTGGATGCATCCCTGATCATGAACATGTGCACTCCAATTTATTCTTAAATGATGCTATTGTAATTTATGACATATTTCAGTTGCAAAACAAATGATTCAGGATTCACTAGGGTGTTGACTAAATGAAAGTGGAATTGGAGCGCACAGAATCACAAGCCACCTGGTTTGGGCAAGAGGCAGGGTTTGGAGTATAGTTTGCAGGGAGACTAAAGACCTCATTGTGGCCATGTAACTGAGAAATAAGAAACAAACAAAACACCAATGTCCAGAATAATAGCATGAGAAAACTAAGGAGGATGAAAGGAAGGCCAATGAGCACTATACAATTGAGATATAATCAAGATTTTCAGTGAAACTTGAAGCTGTAGGCCTGTAACTACCAATTTCACCAGCAAAATTTTAGCCATTGCATTCTCAACTATATACAGATGTAGAAGTATTGCTAGAAAAAAAAAAAAAAACTAGGGCAAAAACCTCCTCTATTAGTCCACAGTTAACAACTTAACATAGTTCATTAATACCATCCATTCATTGAATATAAAAATATTCTACAAGAACCAACTTACTCTACACTTTGTTTTCTTCATGTTCTCCAGTGATTCGGCAATCTCAAGCTGCTTCATCACTGCAGCATGTAGTACCTACAGTAAAAGCACAAATTTTGAACACCATCTTTTCTAAGGGTGTCAAATGAATGATTGGAGAAATTTTGAATTGAATTATAATGAATGGGTAAAAAATAAACTATTAATACATTAAAAATGTGTTAAAAAAAATTCAATCCATCCATAATCCATTTAAACAAAAAAATCCTTCCACCAACTATTTTTTATAGATGAATATCCAACCCATCCATTTAAAGTATATTATATTTTAGTTCTTAATTTTCATTTTATTTTTTTGTAAAATAAAGTTCAATATTTATACACATCAACCCTATAGAGTCTAGGATCCATCCTTTAAAGACTTATGTCCAACTAACAAACTTTGGACTACTTAACCTAATGGATTACAATATATAGTGACATTATCCATTTAATAACAAATGGTGATCCAATCTTACTTATCCATTATTATTATTTTTTACATGAGGTTGTTGGATTTATGCATAGGTGGATTGGATGATTAGTGGATAAATGGATTGAATTGTCACCCTTAATCCTATTAGATTGGCATAGTCAAAAGTTCTACATGACTGACAAAAGTATAGATGAATACCCTCTTGGTCTTTTCAAGATCAAACTCAACAGACTTAATCCTATCCAAGGAGTCCATAAGCATTTGCTCCTTCTCCTGAGGCATGCCATCAGGTTTGTTGTCAAGTTCCTCAAAGACTTTTTCTAGTCTCTGAAGGCGTTGTACACATGGAAGAATATAATCTCTTTCGGAATTTGCTTCAACAGATGCTGAATGGCTGTTAACATTATGTTCCATGGTAACTGAAGGGTGAACATTGTTCTGTGTTCTCCAAAATTCAAATCTTAAACAGCGGAAGAGTGTAACTAGTCTTTCCATGAAGGATGTCAGCACTCTTGCCACATATAAGATATTTATTTTCTCTACTTTTTCCTTAACAATGCTAACCCAATTGCTAACTGAAGTACCTGACAAAAAATCAAATTAGAGTTCAGCAACAAGGACACTACTGAAATTACATGCCGATGCAATTGGTTAAACCTAACATGAATTATAGCTATTATGAGTTCCATCTCCCTCGTTCAAATATGACAAAGTATCTCTGCAACTTGTGTTCCACATAGCAAATAAATTTAATTGCTTCAACAATTTCATAACAATACCTTCTAAATCCCTTCTACAAGCAACATTCCCTACATCATTAGTTTGCAATGACTGCTTTCGAGTAATGTGAAATTGATCACTTTTGACCACTTCCTCAACTGCTGGAGCACTATCATCACAACTGTAGTAGCCATTGAGATCTGGCGCTTTAAGCTACAGAAGGTACAGTCTTAGGTATGATTAAGAGTTTTAAGACAAAATGATACATAATGTGCATGCAGTACGTAAAAGCAAGAATGAGGAATCTAGAAAAAAATCAGGTTCAAAGGTTTAGAAACTGACTTCTTCGTGAACTGGGGCTAAATGAGGATAAGGACAGCTACCCTGTCCGCTGGGAGAGGAGTAATCATTAACATCAGACCCTGATTCAGCTATTGATGTATCACTGCATCGTTCCTGGGAGATGAGAAAAAGAAGTTAAGAGCCCATATATCTAAAGTTAACACCTGTAAGTCCCAACTTCTCAGTGTCAAGAAGACCAGGACTTGCCTTCCGTGGATGCATTTGAAAGGAGTCAGATTTCTGTTGTCCATTGGGCACTCTAGTGATTTGTCTCACATATGTTGCTTCAGCATTAAGTACCAGCTAAAGATAAGATTATCTGACATTAGTTGCCCAAATACTAGTTTGACAAGTAATTCCAAGTCATATATTTTCAAAAGCTGACACATGTAAATAGTACAAAGCAAGATAAACAAAGAAACATTACCTTCATGATATCAGGATCATTCCATGGACCCTTGTTGGACTTAAGACATCCACCTTCTGCTGCACATGTACAAGAACCACCCAGAAAGTCTGGCAACTGACTGTATAGATTCATTTACAAAATCCAAATTACTCACTAAATTGAATAGAAATTACAGTGCACTATGATGAAGGCACAGATGTATACCTAGAGTCAATGACTTCCAGTAACTTATATAAAGACTTAGGTTCAAGAATCTGGACATTTGGGACATGAATATAAAATCAGTATCACACAGCAAGAGAAGATCTTATGATATATTAGCTGATAGTTATATCCTTCACCTGTATCTTTGCAATAGTTTTGGAATCAAGAAACTTCTGGGCAGCAGGCCAAAGCATCTTCTTAAAGCCAGGGCCAGCATTGACTACGTACATTTGATGTAATGTCTGCAAATATAGAAGATAAGGTTTTATATAGAAAGGAAGAGGAGTGAAAAGAAGTTAATCTGTGAAGGGATGAGACAAAAACCTCAGGATAATAACTGCTATCTATTTTTGTCATAGCAGACAAGAGATTTGCAGCAGTACGTGAGAAATTTTTCATTCCCTGCATCACATATGTCAAGTGCCAGCTCAAATTTCAGCAAAAAACATTTTGACAACTTGAAACAAGGTAGTTTCTAAAATAGAGAAACACATGACTAGGAATACCCCCTCAATAAATAGATTGGTTTTCTAAAATAATCAAGGCAGATGACATACTTGATAAAATGCTTATGGGATAAGTAAATAAATAATCTATCAAAAAGCAGTTTAAACTATCAGGCATACAAAGAGAAAAAATCAACACAAATATACATGATATTAGTGATAAGCTGCATAATATTTACTGCAACACAACATACCAAGCCCTGTACATCCAATATTGTTGTTGTTGAAGAAATCCGTCTCTTTGCTGCAATGGAACATGCTGGAAATTTCTCCTGCAGGGCCCTCTCAAACTCCTGGACATGATATTTCAAATATCGATCTATTGTGGTGATGCGCATTAGCCGGCTTGGATGGGCTTTCCCAAGCCTCTCAATGTAAACTGGCCTGCCTTCCTTATCAACTCCATGGTACCCTTGAGGATAATATTGCAATACTTCTTCCAGCTCTTCAAATTCAAAATCCTTCAAAGATCATTATCACATCAGAGCCAAATTAAATGTATCAAGTGTCTTCTGGCATAGAACACATACTGATGTTGAAATGTTCAAATATTAAAATAGCAAATAATTTTGTTCTGTCATGGACCAACTCTCCTAAAAGCTTCAACCATTAGGTAAATGAATTGTTTTATATATCAAACATGCCCCCTCACATGAACTATTTGTGCTTTGATGCAAGGATAGAATTGGGGTAGCAGGGATCAAACTCTTGACCATAGAGACTCTAATTTATGTCATAGACCAAATATCCTAAAGATTAAGTTATTAAGTGGAAGCTCAACATAAATGGTTAAATTTATTTCTAACATGGGGCAGCAAGGATGGAACTCTTGACCACTTGCTTGGTCATATAACCCTAATACCATATTCTTGTAAAAGCTTAAGCCATGATGAGATGGAGGCTCATGAATGGTTTTATATCTAGCTTTTTCAAATTATAGAACAAACAAATTCAATAATATATATTCTATAAAATCAGATAAACCAAGGGACTATGTGTTGTCCTTCATTACACTAAAACATTCTGTGGACTAAAGCAGACTATACCTTTCATGGCTATGACATAAATTACAATCATTACCTCAAGAATGGTATCAGTTCCATATTCCTTTCGCCACATAAGCATTTCTTCCCACATTTGAATCGTCTTCTCAATGTTGAAGTCCCTAGCTTTAAGAAACCTACCAAGAAGACCAAGCAACAGAGCAAGTGTAAGCAAAAAAAAAAAGAACACTTTATATTTGACTGTGAGCATTTGAAGTGAGGAAATACCTTAATAAAGTATGATAATCATCATGCCTACGAGGTAAAGATCCCCTTTCGATTAGTTTTTGACGTAATTCGTGGACAGCAGTCTCCTCCCTCGCATCTCTTACATCCTCAATGGACACCGATGGAACCCTATAATCAATTTTCCTTTTCCCTCTTTTCCTAAGGGAATGAGTAAATCTAGATGAAGCATTGATCGCCTTCTTCTTCAAGGTTCCAATTCTCGACCACCGCCTCTCATCCTCCGAGTTCTCAACATCCGACCTTCTCTCTCTAATCTCATCATTATTACTACATTGCCCTTCAAATCCTTTCCCACCAAATTTCAGCAACAAGCAGTGAAATACATGATCAGTTTTTTCACACTACAAAGTCATGCCACTCACAACATACATCAAAAACATCATAAATTTGCAAAGAGAGAGCAGAGTATACCTGACATTGACATTTCAGTCCCACGAAAAACCAATGACAGTTGATCCTAATTGTTGAATCAGTGAATCAAATTCACACCGAACTCCATCAAATCCTAAATCATTGCTCCACAAACAACCAAAAATCAAAATGAAAATTCAATTTCAAATTCAAAAAGTAGAGGAAAGCGCAAGAAAGCAAATGCATTTTAAAGACAGAAGTACCTTACATTTCACTAAATTGTAAGTCACATGAACAGATTGAACTCTTAATATAATTTTTTAAAAAAACTAACAGAGTCATCGAATTGATACAAAATAAGAATCTAGAGGTAAATTAAATCTAACAAGGTGTGAGAATTGCTGTTCATGAAGCTTTCTAGCTGTTTCATTTGTTCTTTCTTTAACCTCAATCAAATGCACACAGACTAAAATCAACACAGTGATAGTGAGGGAGCAAAACAAAACTCTCGATTCCAAAACGACACGCCGTTTGGCGCAAAAGCATAGGGAAAATTATCTACCTTGGACGACGATTGCAGTGTCGCTTGTACAAAGCCAATGTTAACAAGTTGGTAAAGCAAAGCGTTTTCTTATTTTCTTTTTTTAATTTTTTGGGTGTCATTTAATGAAGCGAGCTGAAGAGAGAGATGCGAGGCTCGTGATATAAGGCGTTATACATATGAATATGAATAAGAAGCAAGATCATATAGTATATCATATATTATTATTATTATATTATAAGGTCTATTAATTAATGTCATGGTTGGATCCGTGGTTGCATTTATTTATTCCTTCTTCACCCGACACCAAAATTTACCCAAAAATGAACGCATTTAATTGATTTTGCCAATGCTTGAATTTTCATTGGATCTCACATGACATAACCACAACCACCCTTCCCATGTCCAACCATCGTTTTTGCATTTATTATAAAGCAAAACGCAAACAGAAACATTTAGAGTATATAAATGAATATGTAGAGAAAGAAAGAAGAGAGAGAAGAAGAACATGCATACCCTTTGGGTTTGGGAACGAAGAGAGGAAGAGAACGCTGTGGATCCTTCTACTCTGCCTCTTCTAACTATTCTTCTCTCTTTCTTTTTCTCTCTTTCCTTTTTCCCCTTTACTCTTTTTTTATTTTTCTTATAATTCTGTAAATAATGAAAATATCAACTGAAATTGATAAATAAATATTATTATTTTTCTTAAATTTAGATGTATGAAAATTAATGAATAATTGGAGAAATTTTGAACCGATGAGTTGAGGCAATGGGTGAAAGTGTGAACCAAAACTCAACAAATGCATTAAAAAAAAGTGAGAAGAAAGAGGAAAATTGCTACTGAAGGGAAAATGAGAGAAAAAGGAGTGAAAGGGACAGTGATGGACACTGTGAAACGTGAAGGTTCGAGCATCTAAGAAGCAAAATCCGTCACCGAAAATTCGTGTCATGGCATCTTTGTTTAGTGCTTTGTTACATTATTCGTGAGATCGCCGTGTGTCCACTTTCGGCTTTCTTTTCTTTGGTGCTTCTTATACGTGTCATGTTTCACACTCTTCTTTTATATATGTATACATGTTTTACCTTTTAATTTTCTTTATATTTGGAGCAATGCTTAGAGAATAAAATAAAAATTAACAAAATTGTTTGTAAAAGTTTAAAATCTATATTTGAATTATTTTTCTCTTGATAAAGGTTTGAATTTACTTTTTATTTCTGTCCAAATTTTATTTTCAACAATAGTTTTTTAGTTTTTAAAATTTTTAAAAACTTTAAAAAAAATTGTTTCAAGAATTATTTTTGGGTAAATCAATTCAAAATATTCTTTTTACTGACTTTAAACAAAACAGATACATATTTGAATTTATCTATGAAAAATGTTTTAACTGTATCAATTTATAACAATATTAAAATTTTATTTCATTAAATAAGGTTAGAATTTTTAGAGATATTATTAATTATAAAATTTCTTTTAATAAATTTTTACAGGTTTTTTTTAACATTTATAATATGTTTTGCAAAAAGGAGAAATTTTATCAAATAGTAAAAGGAAAAAAAAATACCATCTACACAAGAACCGTGTTATTAAATGTCAAAATTAATTTAGGCATACTCAATTATCAAGATACGATAAAGAAATGTAAAAGAGTCTGAAAAAATTTTAAAATGCAAATTAATGTAGAAAAAGAAGAAGGAGAATTTGATTCAACAAGTTTACAAATACTAACAACACTAATAATTGAATCAAGATAATCAAGATTAATAAAAACATAATGAAATATTCAAAACACTGTGATGCATCATAATTTGGGTCATTTCTAATTTCTAGAAAAAATTACTTACTCATAATTTGATTACCAGCAAAAGTAATGAATATGAACATAAGAAAAAATAATAATAACATGAAACAATAGTTCTTGACTTCCAAGTCTTCACTTTTGTTGAGATAGTTTTTGATAGGTTGGTAATGGCATGGAACCCTTAGAATGTGTTTATTTTATATTTAAATATACTTGGGCTTTTATAATTATCTTTGGCCCTTTTAATTTTGTTGAGAAACTTTTTAAAAATAGAATAGGTAATATGAAACTTTAAAAATAGATTGGGCTTTGTAAATGCTTGACTGCTCTCCCTTTCTTCCATGGAGCTTTTAATCTTCATATTTTAGCTCCCAAAATACACTCATTTACAATGAACTAATCCATGTCTCTCCTTCGTATTAAAATTCACTATCTATACTTAAAAGATGCTTTACCTTATCTCAAATAAGAACAAACCAACTTATATCTTGAAATAATAAGGCAAAAAAAATTATCATTATTGTCACCAATCATATAATTCTTTCTAGAGTATCCAACATCAAAATGACATTGCCTTAAAAATAAAGGTCCATTGCACTCCCACTACACCCCTCTAATTGCAGGTATTATAAGAAAATTAGACATATGAATAAGAATTGTTCCTTGTGCCTATCTAGGCTTAGTCAAAACAAAGGCTCAAGTTTATTTTAGTCTAATTCCTAAGCTTGCCACTTCAATTGCTAGTGAAGATTCTTCTTCTACCTTTTAGATCTCATTCACTCCCTATGACCTTAAGTTTGTTTTCAAACAACTTATTTCTCACTTTAGTAATTGTAGGGCTATTCCTTTTATTTACATTGTTGATGGTTCATTTATGACAATGAGTCATAAAGGATCTATCTCTTTCCCTTTTTATCACTTTATTTGAAACTTATCTTGTTTTCAAACTAAATTTTAATCTAATATTTATTGAGCAATTTTGTGATCTTGGCTACATTTTGAAGTTTTTTCTATTAGTTATTCATTTTAGGATCCAAAAAAATGGGACATATAATTGGTAATAGGTGTAAAATTAACAAATTGTTTGAGCTCACTAGTTTTCATATATCTCAAACATATTTGAGCAACCTTTTTGTTAATTCTTCACTTCAATTATTGCATCAACATCATAGGATAAGTTTCTCAATAAAATGTAATCTCTTTTATGTCAAAGGTTATTAAGGTATGTTAGAGAAACGTCTCTTCATTGTATTTTTTTGTTTTCAAATTACAAAGCAACTTGTTTTACCTTTTGATCTTGTGCACTCTAATATTTGGGCTCTTGCACATGCCAACCATAGAAGGACATAACTATTTTGTGATATTTGTTAGTGATTACTTTTAGTTTACTTGAATATTTTTTATGAAACAATTTGAATTTTCTCAAATATATGCTAAATTTACTTCTATGATTAAAATTCAATTCTCTACGACTTTGTTTGGATGTCAAGTAAGGAAAGAAAAGTGAGGATTTATTTATAATTAACCCTTGCTTAGGAGTTAAAAAAAATGAAGGGAAGAGCCTTAAGTTTGCCTGACTTTAATTTTCAAATTTCTCCTAATCTAAGGACTTTCTTGAAATTTTTTTTATAAAATTACCAATTTATCCTTTTGAAAATACAAGTTCTCCCTTTGATAATTAGGTAAGTTCTTCCTTCTCTCAAATCCAAATTTTTTCTCACTACTCACTTTCTTTCTCTATGATTTCAAACCCTAGCAAGCTCTCTTTCTTTCTAAGTGCAAAAATCCTATGGTTTCATTTCAGTTTCAATTTTCTAATCAAATTTTATCATTGTGATAATGCTATGGAGTATCATGACTCCAAACTTTTTCAATTTCTTGCAGAATATGGGACTCTCTAAATTTCATGTCCAAGAATATCACAACAAAATGATGGAGAAAAAACAAAATACCGTCATATTCTTAACTTTATTTATGCCATGCTTCTTTCTTCTTGTCAAGAAAAAGCATAAGGTAAAACTACTTTCATTGCTTTTTATGTCATTAACCGTCTTCCTTCTTCCGTTCTTATAATATCTCTCTTTTTAACGTTTGCATTAAGTTTCTCTAACTGTTTTATTTTCTTTTAACCTCATGAATAACTTAAGTCTTGTGCTTATCTTTATTGATTTTTGAAATATAGCATTGAAGTTAAAGGTTAACACTATTGGAGTCAAAACACATTCACATATCTTGTCATGCTGTTTTATTGAAGGTACTAAGTTTTCTTCTCTTTCCCACTTCCTATCCATCCTTTCCACCATCACTTCCTTACTTACTAATTCTTCTTTTGATCTTTTTCAAATGATTTTGCTTCTAATAGTTTAAGTTCTTCTTCATAAAATAGTTCATGTGTAGATCCATTAAGAGAACTTACTAATCTTTTGGATGATACTCCCTTTCACTCCTTAATAATGAGATAACTTTCAACTTCACTTTATGTTATTATTATTTTTCAACAAAGCTCCTCATGTATAGTTTGCAAAAATCAGCTCTACCATTAATAAACATGGCTTAACTATTACATGATTAAAGTTGTCAACATAGATTAAAGTCCAATACTCACCTTATATAGCTTATTATATAGCTTTTTTCCCTTAAGTTTTATAGTAGTGGATTTACTTTTGTTCTATACTCCAATGTATTAAAAAAAATTGAGTCAAAGTTAGAAATAGGTTAACCCACTATTTTTAGAGAATAGTTAATAAGGATGGGAATGGGTCAAACCGTCCATCGGGGGGCCTATAGCCTAACCTATTTAAGGCCTAACCCAACTCGGCTCGTTTATTAAAACGGTCAGGCTTAAGCTTTAAAAAAAGCCTTCCAGACCTATAGGGCCAGCCCAATTAAATAATTATATTATTTTATAATTTATATTTATTTATTTGTTTGTTTGTATTTTAATATAAATATAATTGTCTAGAAAAATGATATATATATATATATATATATATAATGTAATGTATCACATAGTTTAATATTTATACTTAAATAATATAATAATTATAATTGTACTGTTAGAGTATTTAAGATGGATGCACAACTTGAAGTTATCACATTGAAGATTTGATATTTTGCTCAATGGCTTGACAATTGTTTGTTGAGTTATACATTCTAGTCTCATTTTTTATTTTATTTTTTCATAATAAACATCATAATTGTTAGCATAGTATTTGAGATTATATAATATGGACATGTTACCTTTTGGATTATTTGAGATATAAAATTTTGTGGAGTTATCGAATATGGTCATTTTGAGATATGATATTTGTGAAGCCATTTGTGTATTTTTATTTTTATTTTTGCTAAACATAGTATTTAAATATAATTACTTATCATATGTTTTCTATTTTACTAATACTAGGTCTCTCAGCTTGCTAACCCATTAGTTACTAGCTCATTAACCTACTAGCCCGTTAAATTTAAATTGTTAGTATTTTTTAAAGGCCTTATTGGGTCATGTTAGACTTCTAAAAAGGTCAAGTTAAGCCTAAAAATTTAGCCAATGTCAGGTCATAGGCCTAGGCTTAGACTCTAATTTTATGTAGTAGGCTAGACTCATTTAACCTCTGGCCTAACCTATTCCCATCCTTAATAATTAACAACTATTATATCATTTTTTTCAAAACACACCTATAATTTTAATAACTAGAAGACATTAATTGTATAATAATTTTAAAAAATTATTATTTTCTCTTATATTTGACTAGTGATATAATTATTATTATAGTTGATGATTATGGAGCTTAATCAAACAATTTTTTTATTTACCACTTTTATGAGATAAAAAAATTAGTATAATTTAAATATTTTAAATAAATAAA